AATGGGCCCTCAAAATTATTAGGAGAAAAGAAAAGGTCGAACAGCAACATGGAAATATGAAATTAATTTTGATTTAAGAAATTGTAGTAGATATTTGAGGTGAGTTCATCATTGTGGAACATTTCCAATGTATGAGGACGGTTGGATTAGTGGACTTTGTTTTCCCTTTTCCACATACAAGGAGCCTTGAGGTCAAGAAAAAAGAAACCAGGACAGATTGGGAAGTTCATGTTTATCGTACGTAGGAGTAGATGAACATGAAACTGTAGTTGGGAGTTTTTGTTGCTTTATTATCTTCTCAATATGCATAAGTAATACTAACCAATCATGGGTTAGTCTCTGATAGCTTTGAATGAGCATAATGGCATGAGAATGCATCGTACCGTGCTAACCATTAATGAGATAAATGGCCTGCTAAGAGCTTGGTCTGATGGTTAGTAATTGTTCAATTAAATAAAAATTTTTGCTTGATATTTTCTTTTGAGTGGGGATGAATTTGGACGTTCAGAATACATGTATGTTATCAAGATATCACTACCGTACGTAGTATCACTTCATACTACCACCACACACCACATCATACTACCATCACACACCACATCATACCACCCAATAGTACTGCCATCATAGCATATTGTACGCCATCATCTTACAATTATCGTAATAGTCTAGTATAAAATTATTGATAATGAAAATAAATTTTATTTGAAGTTATATGAGAATGGATATAATATTCCGGATTGCACTAAATCTAATTAAAAAAAGAGTTGAAATGAAGGAGATGTTTATAGTTCATTCAACATCGATGTGAGATTGACAAGGTTTATTAATTATCACTATGAATCCACTTAAACTATCAAATGATGAGTTATGTAGCTCTAATTAATCAATGACTATGCACTGGAACTCAAGCCCAAAGTGAATTAGTTATTTAAATAACTCTCTTCTATTTTGTCTAGAGAGAGCCGGGAAGTTTAGTAGTAGCAGTTTAGGTCTGTGTTTGGGAGAGATCATCCATTTTGACGAATGGTAGATTGACAGAAGGGTTAATAATATATGATAAAATTACCCCATTGACTTTGTGCTTGTGGTCATCATCAACCACCTTTTTTTACCATACAATTTTGAATTGTTCTTAAAATGTTAGAACTTTGGGACGCTTAAATTGTGTTATGATGATAAATTAGAGGTATAATCAAGGTGCGCAAGTTTGTTTGTTTTAGTTATACATATTGAGAACTAGTAGTTACATAAAGACCTTCTATCTACCTCTATCTTCAATCTAAACTTCTATGGTTTTCTTGCTCATGTGATCCATCAACTCACCATTCTCTAGCCATCATCCATGGGATGCTAGCTAGTCATGACAATTGAGTTTACAAACATTATTGAGATTCAGTGTGACACCATAGAGAATGTCATCCCTATCTTTCTGGACAGGTGTGCGACGACTTAGTTAACAGTCTTATTTATCCACACCTGGTTGTTGCAGAAGTGAAGACATACCTTATGATGCTAAAATTCGCTTGAGATATGGAGTTCCCGTGATTTTCCATTTTGATTGCCAACCCTTATTTCAAATATACATTGTGCTTTGTTCAATATAATGCAATGCTTGGATCATGGATGATTGTATAGCAAAGGTCCTTCATGCAATGAACAAGGTATTTTTTTCCTATGCACATTATGGTCTACATAATAAGCAAATGGGTTGTGGTGGTCATTCAACTATATTGGTGTTAATCTTTATTGGAATCAGAATCAATCATAAATATTAATCTGATGCGATGATGATAGTCTTGCTCGTAGTGTAACCATATTGATTAGCAAGCGATGTTCATCGCTTAAACTCATAGAGAACTCACATTGTCTTCTTCATGAAAATCTTGCATCCAACTCCTTATAAAGAGTGTGCATATTTGGTGAACATGACGAAGATAACATGTAAACAGAGAATGACAGTTTGGAGTAGAATATCACCACGTCGCTCTCAAGGTAGTACGAAAAAGATGTATGAAATGGTTTATGCATGTAACAAAGGAAACCTAAAATATTTCAATTCAAATGGTAGATGACTATAATATATTGAAAATGTGGATCTCCATAAAAAATTATCTGCGTGACTGTCATATCAATTTTTTTGTGAAAAGAATATGATTCGACTTTCTTAACACGTATACGATGAACATTTGATAAACTAAAATCCTATCTTAAGATCCATCAAGTTGTGCAATTTTGTATGGTTTTGTCCTCTGAGCCTAGAGACTTATAAGGGTTGGCTAACTATGGTCCTCTTGGGGCACCAAGTTTGGACTTATCCCTAGTGATCTAACACCTTTTATCGCATGAGTTTGTCATGCTCTCGGGACTAACATATTTTAGGCTTTGGTCACCATCGTCGGAGAAACCAAATTGCCATCATAATACAAAACATTCTTATAAAAACAATGAAACAAAAATCCAAATGTTCATAGTAGCCTAGGCCTAAGCTAGTAGGCTACCTATAAAGCTGTTAGATCTCGTCTCTTCTCATGAAGTGAACAATGATTAACGAATGAAGCCACACTTAATTAAATAGTGAAGTTAATTAGTCCTTAAACCCATTCACTAAAACCTACTCATTCAGCTTTTTAAGCACCCTTAGGGAGGAGTCACGGGCTGTATTAATAATGGATATTGACCAAGTGAGGAAGGGACAAGGCAAGGGCGGCGAGATAGGAAGGAATCGTTATAATTAAAAACGTCATTTGCAAATGACAACAAAAGAACAGTATCGAGAAAATTGAAAAAACGCAATTTAGATAGTGATGACAATTTGAACTCGTCACATGAGTATTATTTGACTTGTGATGGAGCGGGTATTACACGACTCGTAGTAGTGTGAGGCGGGTCATGAATATCTATATCCGCCCTCTTTTTTTGTCTATTCTATCTCAATTTTTTACCGTATTCATTCATACTTCTCCTTTTATGACTTTCTTCAACTAATAGGACTCGATCTTTTAATTAGTTAAACTCAATTACTCATTATATTATCACTATTTTTAATTCATTAAGTGTTTTCTCCTTCGTTTTATGGTGAAAAGTAAATTTTTGCGTGTATTTTTTTCAAATAACATAAAATAGTGGGTCCATCCGTCCCGTCTCGTACAATATTACCCGTCCCACCCCAACCCTATATTAAGACAGAGTACGATTATTGAGGTATCCGCTCCCATTCCCATTGTCATCACTAGTTTAGTTTAGAGCCAATTAAACTAAATTAAATTCCATTTTCAAAAATAAACAAATCGTTTTTCTTCTTCTTCTAACAAAGCAAGTTGCCTTTTTTCCACAGTTCGGAAGGGTTGTCAGTTGTTTCCCTTTTCATCTTCATCTATATATTTATATCTTGTATTGCTCTCTCGCAGTCGCTTTATTCATACCATAGTATTATATTGCTTTTCGAGTATAATATTCCCTCGAAATTTATTATACTTGCTTGACCTTCGAACCTTCGAAAGCCAACTCTCTCTCTCTCTCTCTTTCTACAAGCTCTCCCAATCAACACCAGCTGACTGCTCGAGAAGGAGTCCGGCAATCTCAAGCTCGTTTCTTTTTTCCAGTATTCTTGACTGATTTGCTGTTCGGCTTCGGTTTCAGTAGCAGCTAAGCAAAACCCAGTTTGATGGTAAGTGGGTCGGCTGAATCTTCAGTCAGCTTTCCCCCTCCCCCTATCCCAATTGCTGATTTGAATGCTCAATTTCGCTTTTTTTGTGCTTCTTACTTTCTCTGCCTGTCTGCAAGTGCCCTGTTTTGTTGCTGGGGAAGTTCTTGATTGGGTGAATTGAGGGGTTTCGTTTTTGCTGGACAAGGGTTTTGTCGTTTTCTATTTCCCCCTTCTTTTTAACAGGATTTTGGGAGCTTGTAAGTTTGGATGATTCGGGATCGAATTCTGTGTTTCTTTTGTGATTTGGGTCTTTGAAGTGTAGAAGGAATTCAGATTGGGAGGATAAAATGAAGTGGAAGGAAGAGGAAAAAAGAGCTTGTATTATCGGCTTTGCTTCCTTCAGAGGTTTACTTGTGGTTTGGAACTTAATTTGAAGAGACTTTACTCACAATTCATTGGAAGGAAATCTTTATTTTTCTATCTATCTATCCACAACTTGCTCTCACGTTAAAAGGGGGGAAAAGTAATGAATTCTGTTGCATTCCAGTTGGGACTTGGGGTTCCCCTTCCTCAACAGATTTTTCCCATCATCTAGCTAGCTGCCCATCCTGTTACCTGAGCTGTCCACCCTCCACTTGAAAGTTGTTTTGGTTGGATCCAAGTTCCTTTCTCGCTTTCACATTTTACTTTTGAATGGTTCATGCACGAAGGAGAAGGAAGGACAATCACACTTCTCCTCTTTTTCCTTGAACTGGAAAGGCAATGTTAAATGTCAAGTTTCAGGCTTTCCTCGTGATTGTCTAACCCTCTTCCCTTGATTGTCCTTCTCTCCATCTGTCCCTATTGTCTTTAAGAAAGACAAGTTGATTCCTTTTTCCCTTTCCTTTTCCAGGGCGAAAATTGCTAGAGGCTAACCCATCAGGGAAGGTACTAACTCTCATCAATTTACCTTCCTAGTTATGGTTATCATTATGAGATGAAAGAAACATTTCATCTGTGTTTATTGTTTCTGTTGTACATGTCTTTCAACAGATTTTCGGAGCCGTTGAATTGGTAGAGCGAGCGTGCCAGAGGGCTGTGGACTCTGCTCGTGAGTAACCTGCTACTTAATGCTTTATTAGTTGGGACATTAAGGCCTTAAATATACTTCCTTTGATGTAATGCTCTTTCGGTTAATAGCTAGTCCTTCTTGTTGCGATTATGTGGTTGGAAATTGTCTACTATACAATGTGCTTGAGCCACCACCAGTTTCTCTTCTGTCTTAAATGTTTACTTAAGCTCAGGACCTTATTCTTTGTTGTGCTGGTTGTTTTTTCTTGTTTGGAATAGTGTGTACAGTGATCTTCAGGAAATGGGATGCATAGCGTCTACACCTAAGGATGCTGGTGGAAACAGGAGGAGACCTGCAAGTATAGGAGAGCTTTCTGTCTATGTTCCGGGGTTTCGAATACCTAAACCTGTTGATTTCTCTCAGGCTCTCGGCGACCAGTTGTCGAAGAACTTAGTTGAACGACTCTCTGCTCTAAGAACCCGGATTGTGGTTATGGCCGGCCAAGAAGCACCGACTGTTACTAGAACACGAAGGAGAAGTGCTACACAACATGGTAGCTTGAACAAGACACTCTCTTCGCTGGAATGTTGTAATTGTGTAAGGTTTTCAGTAGAGACTCCCTTCATCTCTAACATTTTGTTCTTTTTCTCTAGGCGGTTCAACATTGGCTGATCTTCATCAGGCTCTTGAAGATTACTTGCCTGTTCTTTTGGGTTTAGTTAAAGATGGTAGCCAACTACAACACAATATCCAATTTGTGTGGGTAAATCAAGAGGATGAGGCAGAGGTGAGTGCTTGGGAGATATTTATTTGTGTTAATGATATCATGATCTTTTATGACCTCCATTTTTTTTCTTTTGCATCTAAATATACTAGGACCATTTTTGCAGGAGACGTCAATGTCAAATGCATGGTATGAGGTACTGTCTGTTTTGCACTTGATGGCAGTTCTATCATTATCACAGGCAAACTTGTTACTTCTCCCAAGAACATCGGCCGATGGTTATCAGCCAAAAGTATCAGAAGGTTTGTACTCTTAAGGAAAGTCTGTCAGTGCAACGAACACGGAAAATTTGTGCTTGAGTTGTTATGTCTACCTCCTAAAACTTTCTAACCTAAAAGAATACTGAGGATTCTTTAGCCTCAGTTTCTCATTTTTTGGGGCAGCATCAATTTTTGTTTTGCTTGAGACCTTTAGCCACCTGTCTGCACTCTTTACCGTACTGTGAAATTGTTGATGTCGAGTAATCTGCATTCTTAATACTGAAATCACCGTTATCAAAGTATTACATCAAGAAGAAAAGATAACAATGTTTACAGGGTTGAGCAGTGTGAATAACTGAATATGTCTGGATCCTCATGGTTGTCGATTTTACATTAATGTTGAACAATAGGTCACAGCTGGGTTTTTCAACAGCTTTCTTTGGAATTGAGCCTTGTATTAATAGGTATCGATTAATTGACATGTCTAATGTCTTGGAAAGTTTACTGTTAAGCTGCTTTGTGCATAGTTATTATGTGTCAAGCTTAAATTTGAGTTCAATAAGTGTTTGGATTTCCTCATTGAAAACGTATGTCTAGTATCTTCCTGAAAACGTATGTCTAGTATCTACAGTTCATTGCTATAACCTATATTTCGAATGCTGTGCTCTGGATGTCTACGAGGATTTCATTGACTATATGAATGCCATGAAATCTTATGTTTAAGTTATCCAGTGAGCATGAGTATGCATATGGGCGTCTCTACATGTTTCTCTCTTGATGTTCCAGTATATAGAATTCTGAAATATGCTGTCTTAATTGTCTCTAAAATTGAGTGGTCATCGGTTTCCTTTTTATAGAAAGCAGGCGGGCATCTGTTGACATATTCTTGAAGGCCGCTGGATACTTGGATTGTGCAGTTAGGCATGTTCTTCCACATTTACCTGCTGCGCTGAGGTCAATATAGTTCACAGACATATTTAATATTGCTACTTGTAATGTAACCTTCATTAGATTTTGAACATATTTGTTATTGCTAGTAGGAGAGACTTGCCAGTGGACCTTGCCGAAGGAGTTCTTCGAGCACTTTGTCTACAGGCCTTGGGGCAGGTACGAGCACACTTCAATGACTTGGTTATTAGCAATTGCTTCTGACTTATTTTCATATGGTGCTGTGCTGTGTATAAATGATAATATTGTATTGGAGATTAACAATCAGCTGTTAAGGTCTGAAGCAAGCAAACAGTTCAGTAGAAATTTGTATATATAACCATCCAGAGCAGGCATTCATTTAGGAAGAAGAAAGTATTACAATAGGAGGGAACATGTGTGCACTCTTGAATTGAAGTTGCCTAAAGCTAGTAGGTATAGAACTTCAATTCCCAAGGCAGCAGATTCCGTGATGTCAGTGAAATAGACTAATCCTTTTGTGAAAATCAAATAGAATGTAGAAGTCTAGACCAGCAACTTGAATTCCCTGATCTCTAGCCTTCCAACTGTTCTTGCACCTTCTCTTCTCCATCTCACATCATGCAGGATACAGCTATGATTTCATTAGTATTAGTGTTGAAGTCATCACCTAATTACTGTTAGTCATGTCTTGGAGTCATTTAACGTGAGGAGCCCCTCAACCTGTTATTCTATGTCAAATAAGATCCAGTTGATTGGTCAACTTGGTTTTTTTTTTTTTTTCTCAAATCTGTCGGCAGAAGTGACTGACTGTGTTTTCGTTCCTGTCTGGGTAGACCGTTGATATCCAACTCGGGATGGCAATTGATAGTGCCAAAGCCACGCTGGCAGTGAAACGGAGGCTTGCATGCGAGATGGTTAAGTATTGGCAGCAGGTACTGCTTCAAATTTTATTACCTTAATTTGAATTTGGTTTGTCTTTCAATTCTTCTTCTCGTGCTTCTTTTAGCTTATGACTGAACTCCCCAAGCAAGCCATCCAAGATAATGCAGTTTCTAGTTCTTCGAACATTTCCCTTTTTTGTATGCCTCGAGTATCTGATCAGATATTGATGTTGCTCTATCTTGGATGCTTTTGTAACCAGGCTCAAGATAACATAATGAATCTTCCGCTAGCAAATGGTTGGGGAGAAAAGCACAGACTTTTCATCAAATGGAAATATGTGGAGGCAAGGGTAAGCCTTTCATCCTAATTTATGTTTTCCAGGGTCCTTGATTGTTGATACTTGCAGTTTTATTACTGCTGAGAGATACAAGAAAATACCAAGTTTTTTGGTTTAATCCTTTGGATTCCCAATCAATCAGGCTGGTGCATATTATTATCACGGCTTGATCCTGGACGAAGGCAACACCGAGAAATCTCATGGGATGGCGGTAGCTGCTTTGCAAGCTGCAGATGAATACTTCAAAGAAAGTAAAAGGTCATGCGAGGCATTCAATTCAGCCACTCCCACGTCAAGGTAACTAACTATAATAACAATGCACACCCTAGACGCACATTGCTCCTAATCCGCGCTCTATCTGTAATCGCAGCATCCTTGAGTTCCTTTCTTGTTTGTTTGCAGAAATCCACCACTTTGGGGAACCATGAAGTTCCTGTCAGAGAAAATCCCTAGAGATACTTCCAGCAAAGTGCGCATAAATCGTGATCTCTACTCGCACGAAAAGTAAGAACGTGATTGATCAATCAATTCCATGTCTTTTGAGGGAATGTATATATAGTGATCTTACATCGGTTTTGGGTCACAGGATCATGGAGACGGCACCTACTTTGCCAGATTTCGCGTTAGCCCTGAAACCTGATGACTATCAGCTTCCTGTCGTTGACCCCTCATGGAACGATGAAAACAACCGAGGGCCACCAGCTGCAAATGCCAACCACTTAAGAGCTGAAGGCAGCTAAGAGGGGGTATACAATACATTTCCAGCAAACAAGCGTAATGCTGCACAGAAACCAAATCGTTGAACTTCCAACTCGGGTACAGCCATCGAAAAACAGGGGTTCAACAGTTCTTCCAACATTATGGAGGGCACGAAAGGGACAAGATGGTGTCATTGTTCTTTCTCTATTTTAGTTTGCCAAGCAAAGTTTGTTTGTTAAAGTCGCTGTTGTGTGTAAATTAGGTCTCTTCTCTCCATTGAAAGAACAAAAGAAAATACTTGGTGTTCTAAATTCTAATGCAAATTCAATGGAACTATCCTTCCCAGCCACTAAAAATTCCCCTGCGTGTAAAACTGAAATCACAGCAATAAGAGTTCGTTTCCTTTCCATGCATTGTTTTGTCAATTATACATTGTGTAATTCTACAAGGAAATCAGCATTCTAGTTTTTGGCATCTCATATCACAGCTACGATGGATTATCCAATGGTGAAGATGACGTTCTAATCTTCGATCATTTCAGCTGCCTGCCTCTCCTTCTCTTGTTCCTCTGCAAAAGGGGAAATGGAAATTGAAGTTCACAAGAGTAACTAATATGGAAGTCCAAAACTTTTTTGGACCATGCCGCTATGGGATAACAAACAACCAAACTATCCAAAATGGAATGTTTTTCTAGCTTACCCATAAGTTTGTACAGTGCTTTCTGTGTCCGTCGGTCAAGCTTCTCAAGCTTCTTCTGAACATCCCGACGCAGGTCCCAGTTTGGTTTCTTTGGAGCAATGTTGAGGAATGGATCCTAAAGCACCAAAATAAGAACAAAGCCAAACATTAGAACTGAGAGCTAAAACAAAAAAAAACAAAAAATTGCTTAAAGAAGAGAAGAGGCTTCAGCTAGTAAAATGTGTCAGATTTAAGATGAGTAAGCATGCACCTCTTTCTTCTCCGGTGATGGAGGGGCTGCTGCAATCGGATCTTCAAACTTTGGTAGCACTGGTGGAGCAAGCCTTCCCTCCTGAAGCTCCTTGGCTTGAGGTACATAGTTGCGAAACTTCAATCCTGCATTACTGGAATTGCCAGGAAGAAAATAAGGTGCTAAATACAGGTTGAATATATCACTGAATGAATCCCACAGAAAACATCCTAGCCGTTTAACTTTCTTATGAGCTCTTGAAAATTGACATGGGAACTTATCAGTGGAAGGTCAAACTAAACCATTAACTCATACATGTAGATGTGCCTGCCATCTACTAGCAGATATATTTCTAAATTTTCACCGTACAAGAAACTGGACAAACATACCCAGTTTAATCACAATTCATGCTTGGAAGCTATCAAAGAAACTAAAACCACAATTAGCATTGTTCAGTCTAAACCCAACAAAGGAAGCAGCTGCACAGAAAGCTAGAGGTGCAGTGCCAAACCTTCCCGTCGATGTGAGCTCTTGGGGATCAACTGTTCTAATCACATGGAGGCACAAACCCCAGGCAATGAGAGTCGTTCTTAAGGTCTTTCTAGAGTTCCCTACTGTGCTTTTCAGTTACTTTCAAAACTAACCTACCCTGTTTGAACACTTATAATCAAGATGCAGTCCTGTCCAATCATCTACTTCAAGCCATTAGCCCCGACAATGAGAGCCGTTCTTAAGTTATTTCTACAGTTCCTTACTGTGATTTTCAGTTACTTTCAAAACTACCTACTCCGTTCTAACACTTATTATCCAGATGCAGTCCTATCCAATCACCTACTTCAAGCCATACTCACTTAACCTACAATTTTACAGATTGATTCACAACGATAGCAACAACAAATCTCGAATGGAAGCGCATATTATTCTCATGCACTAGTAGTCAACTAATTTAAATCGCATATATATCCAAGCTATACTCACTCGCCATTAGCTGTTTCGTCCTCCTGATCCGTCTTATCCTCGACTTGTTCTGAACCCTCATCCGGGGTGCTCATAAGCTCCTTAGCAGCTTTAAGATTCATTAGCCTCTCACGCCGCGCCACCGCAGCTTGTTCGATGGAATCCTCCTCACTCGTCATTGTTTCGTTTTACCTGCATCGCAATTACTTATCTCCATGAAAATCCCCCTCCCAAACACCAACCATGTGGGAAAACCCCCAGAAGGAAAGTACTCAAGAAGCAGCCAACCCTCAACAGATACAATCAAGCTAATTAAAAGTGAAACCCTAGATAAAAAAAATCATACCAACTAAAGTATTTCTAGTTCCAGAGCGCGGTAAGAGATGAGTAAACAATAGGAGAAAAAACAAACCTCCTTCTCCGGCAGGCCCGCCGTCGAAACTCTGAAACTGTAAATCTCCCGGTTATGACTTCTGAGTTCCGATACCGACGACTGATTTGCTTCAGCGGCGCCCTTCGTCAGCAACTTTATTTCTTCTTGTTTTTGTTGTCTTTTTTTCTCTTTTTCCTTCTCCCAGATTACAAAGGAAAATGGCGCTGGGCCATGGGCCGAACTGCCGGGGCCCATTGTTTAACTGCTTTTGGATCAAGAAAATCGGGCCCGATAACTATTTATGACCGTTGATGGACGTCCCCCCATAAAATCCCGCCGGCGCTCTTTCCCTCTTCTCCAAAAACTTTTCCCTTTTCAAGGAAGGTTTTCCCACTTCGAGGTTTCCGATCGTTTCTCCGCCGCTTCATTTGCCCTTGAGAATCGTTCTTTCGTTTCCCAGTTTCCGATCATCGATTGAAATCAATGGAAGGCAACGCCGGGATCCCTATGCCTTCTAAACGGAAAAGGGAACAAGCTAGTGATGGTGAAGAAGACTTCCGGGAGCAGTTCGACACCAGCCGTCTACGGAGGCATGTAGAGAAGCATCACCCGGAGATGCTGCCGGAGGACGACGAAGTGGAGCAAGAAGTGCCGGCCGCGGCGACGGCGGAGGCCGTCCAAGAAGAAGAGGAAGAAGAAGACTGCTGGGAGGATTTCGACAAGGACGCTATGAGGAAGCATATGGAGGAGTGCCATCCAGAGAGGCTGTCAGAGTGGCATTCGGCGAAGGATGAAGCACCGGCCGCCGGTGTTAAAGGTAAGTCCGGCGCCGATGATTTGTATGGGCAATTACCTGGAGGGGAACAACTAGTTAGGCTTGCGGTTGCCGAATCTTTACCGATTCTGTTCAAAGACTGCACTCTATTCAATCTATTTGTCCAGACTATGAATCCCGCGTACCCTAAATTCTCTGCGAAAGTTTTGAGGAAAGCTGCGATGGCCTATTACGCGAAAGAGACGGAGTCTTTGCTTCCCGTTCTGAGGGATTTGAAGGTTCGAGTCTCTTTCACCAGTGGCCTGTGGTCGAGTTCTGATGTGTTTCTCGAAGGGGTCATTTATCTTTACTTGAGCTGTCACTGGATTGATGAGAAGTGGGAGATGCAGAGCAGGGTTTTAGGGTTTCAGCAGCTAGACTGGCCAATGGAGGATCCTGAGAATGTTTCATCTACGATCACGAAACTGGTTTTGAAGTGGGAGCTTGAGGGGAAAGTTCTCTCAATCAATTTCGATGACAGGACTAATGTTACTGCAGCTGTCTCGAAGTTACAGACTTCGTTCAGCCCCATATTGGATGGTCATCTTTTCCAGAGCAAATGTGCTCATCACATTGTGAATTCGTGCCTCAAATATGGCTTCTCCAAGATTTCTAGCCTCCTCGATAAGGTAAGAAATGTGATCCATTTCATCCAGGAATCAAACATTGAGCAGCAAGTCAAAGACAAGTGCAGCCAGAGTGGTTTGAGGTATAAAAGATTGCTTTGTGATATACCCATGTGGAGTAACACTACATATGAAATGTTGGATGCCTTCATTCGTTATCGTTCCATACTTATGGAGCTCTGTAGCGTTGAGCATGCTGCTGGTAATTATTGTGGCACGCCCTTGACGGAAGATGAATGGAGCGTTCTATGCAGCTTGACAGACTTCTTGGAAAGGTTCAAAGCAGCTTTTGATATCTTCTGTAGTGTTTATATTCCTACTGCTAACTTGGTCATCCCAATACTCTACACACTGAGTGAAGCTTCTGCCCAGTATATATATGACAAGCACGTTGGCCAAATATGTGCTGGAATGGAGGCTAAGTTCTCAACTTATTGGGTAGATGGAATTCCAATGGTGTATTGTCTCGCTACTATCTTGGATCCCAGATACAAGCTTGATGGTTTGTTGCATTTGCTGGATGGCTATCATGCTAACACTAAAGTATCCATCGGGGATACGAAAAACAAGATCAAGACACTGTTCTACAAAACATATGATGCATACTTCAAGCAGTATGTTCCTCTCATTCCTGAAGACCTGGTTCGGAGCGGCTGCAGCAGTAGTGGTACCAAAAGTGCAGTTCGTCTTGTGCATAGCTCAAGAGACGGTGATGGTAAAAAGGGCAGTGACACGAAAGCTTCTTCCCATTCCGAGATCCAGTACTACTTGTCATCTGATGATGTGTCGAGTCTCGGCCTGGAAGAAGACATTGATAAGCTGGACATGCTTGACGTATTAAAATGGTGGAAACACAACCAGGCTAGATATCCGGTGCTGGCTACCGTGGCTCGCGATGTGTTGGCGCATGTAGCTTCAGCAAAGGTGCCTGAAGATACGTTTGATTTCCATTCGTCTGGTGTTAACGAACAGAGGAGGGAGATGGGTTCGAAGGCTGCGGAGATGTCTGTTTGCCTGAAGGATTGGATTAGAGCTGAGCTTCGAGAGCAGCGTCTGTGTGTCAACAGGTATGGGGGAGACGTCAGTAGTGATGAAGAGGAGAATGATGATGATGATGCGGAAGAGGAAGAGGGGTAGGAAGGATAGTAAATTAGTAATGGTAGGGATTACTTCATCCTTTTCTTATATAATTTTCGTTGAACTAATTAGTTATTTTTGCTGTTCAAGTTCCTCCGGCGGGATAATGACTCGCGAGTTATTTTGAGACCAGTGAATATTTTTTGTACAACGTAAGCTACTCGACTCCATGTCTCCATCTACTTATTGTCACCCTCGCAATCGGATCGGGTTGGGTAATTTCGGGTTGGAAACTTCGGTTACGGGTCAGGTCATGTTTGGTTGACTTATTTCGGGTTAAATATTGATCCAACCCATTCGGTTTCGGGTCGTGTTACAGGTCATTTCGGGTTATGAGCATTCTCATAAACAATATCAAACATGCTTCATATTTTCTTAAAAGAACACAAATTTTCACATATGTATGACAATAGTTTACCTAACACATGTCAATTAACATATTCTCAAATCCTCCCACGCTAATGAAATGACATATAAATTGCGCAAATAGTCAAAAAACAATCACAAGAGTAATACTACTACTACAAGAAACACATGATATTTGATTCTCCTTACACTCCAACATGTCATTCGGGTCATTCGGATTTCGGGTTACAAAAATTTCTAGTTTTCGGGCGGTTTTGGGTCGGGTCAACTGGTCGGGTTGTAATTTGTCGAGTCTATTTTTTAGGGTTGTTATTTGCAGCTAGACATTTACTATTTGCCGCCTTGCTTTTAGTGTAAATGTCATTCTTACCCAACGTTCAATCACAACACCAACCCTCATTCCACCACAACACTACCAGCGGACTACCGGCGCCAGCGCTAGACCACCTCGGCCAGGGCCATCGCCAGCACTAAACAACCATCGCCGGAATAGACATACCGCGTTCAACTCCGGCGGTCGGACCCCGTTCGATGCACACGATCGAACCTCGTTCGTCGCCGACACGTCGAACCCGATCCGTCTCTGGTGGTCGGACCCCGTGCGATGCAGGCGATCGGACCAGTCCTTACCATCCGATAACGGCTGTTGTTCGAGACAAACACTGAAATTATTAATAACCTAAACTTACCTTAATTAAATTAAAAATTCCATTGATGATACTAACTAGCAATGAAAAGAGGTAATGAATCAGACAAGCGGGGTATTAGGGAAGGTATAATTATTCCATCACTAATCTACGGAGACAAATATGGTAGGTTATGTAATTAAGTGATTATAACTAGAATAGGTAAATTTTTTTAACAAGGAATAAGGTAATTAATTTATTAAATTCCGTTTTTTTTTTTTCGAAAAGGGAGGCCAAGGCCAAGCAAGAGGGGGTTACAGGGGAGAGCTAAGACAAAGGGTCCAAGTGCGTGACTACACGCCTCTCAAAAGTGGTTCCTATCGTGTCTTCCCAAAGAATGTGGTTTAAGCCTGGAGGCGGGTTTGCAAGCTCATGCGTACCGTAGGGATAGACGAGACTGTGCTTCGAGAGCCAGTCCGCGACTCTATTCCCTTCTCGACACGTATGAGTGATGCTAACCAGCCAGTCATGGCTTAAATTCCGTTTTTGGTAACAATCAAAATTCAAAAGAGGAAAATAATTAATAAGTCCCTCTCCGTCGGACCGCCGGCGTCGGACCGAGCCTCACCGTCCGACCGCCTGCGTTGGACCGTCCCTCACCTTCCGATTGCCGGAGTCCGACCGCGTTTCTAGGGCAGATCGACGTCGATTTCTTGAGTCCAAACCCGACGATTTCTTTCTCGCCAACGTCGCCGAGTTTACATGACCGGAGCGAGCTGCGGTTGTGTTTTCGTGGTCGCCGGGGAGGATGGTTCAGATGCCGTTGCGGGGTGGATGGTGTCGGGTTGGAGAAGAAGCGACATAGGGAACAATGAAGGGGAAAAGGGGAACAAAGAAAAAGGCAGTGGTTTGGCGTTTGGCCTCGTCGACGACTAGGTCTAGGTCAGAATCAGAGGGAGGATGGTAGGAAACGACGACAATTCTAGGCGATTCTATCTTGTTCAATTTTTGACAAACCTCACTTCAAAAGGTAAAGGCAAAAATGCCCGTTTGTTTTAAATCGTGAGCGACAAATAGCAGTTCATTAATTTTTATGCCCTGTTTAGAATTCATTCTCATTCTTATTGTTGCTTCTTCAATGGTGAGATTTGCTTCTGAGTTGGTATGTCAACGGTTTCGTTCGGGATGGATATTATATATTCGATATAATATCCTCATTACTTTGATTTTTATTCATTCGTTTAAGATTTGGATAGTAAGTCAATATTATTTTCGGTATTTGTTTTGGGTTTTATTTATTCGTTGATAATCACCGAGTTTAGTTTTCTATATTTTTTTCATATATCTACATATGATCCTTTTATCTCTCGGCTATCGATTTCTTACTTGTGTCCGGTGGCCCTTCTTGCTAGGGGTTGTTCAAATGGTTACCATGGTTATAACCAAACCAAATAAGGCTAAATTCCATTAACCATGGAATATTATATCATAACCAAACCGTCCAAACTAATACAACAACCAAATTAACCAAACTAAAGTTTAATCGGTTTGGTTAATTGGTTAACCAGATTAACCAATATAAAATCACATTATCATTGATGATGAAATTTTTTCGGTTAATGCAACAATTCGCAATTTATATAATGAATAAAACATAACAATCAACACGTAGTTATAGTTGATCCTTAACAAAAATACATGCAATTAAGACAATTATTTTACGATTAGTATAGAAGTATTCACTTAACAAAAATTTATGACAATGGTATGGTTAATGAATTGTTGTGTTTGTGTAAATTGACTTAGTCTCTTAGCAATTATCATACTTCCTTTCAAGTTTTCATCCATCATAATGTATGAAAATTATCTAAATTATATTAGGCGTCCATATGTTGTGGCCTATACTTTACATGTTGAGCTTTATATTTTATATGAGTCTAAAATGGATGAACGTTAACTCTTGAGTGGTTATGCAAAGTATTAAGTATGTGTATATAATATATGTTAGATATATGACTAATTAATTAACGGGTTAATTTGGTTTGACTGACTGGTTAGGAGTGTCTGAAACCAAACCAAACCACATAAACCAAACAAACTAAAAATTTTAGCCAAACCAAACCAATTATCCAAATTAACTAAACGAAATTATCCAAATAATATCGGTTAAAACGGTTACCACGATAACCAAACCGTTTGAACACCCCTACTTCTTGCAACATGGTTCTGAATATCTCGTGATATGGTCACGGATTCTCAAATTTAGTATTTTTCTTCTTCTTTTATATGTGACTTCAATATTGTGGTTTATTATTCTTGTTACATGACACGATTTCTTACAGGATAATCATTTTCCTTTTGGCTCATGCACACATGCTCGTGAAGGAAGGCTTAAAAGTTACGACCCATGAGACCCGACTTAAATAATATTAATTATTATAATTGAGAATATTAATTACTTTAGGGTGTGTTTGGATAGAATGATTTTGATTTGGTATTTGTGATTTTGATTTCTGAATGTCAAATCATGTGTTTGGATATTAATTATATTTGGTATTTGGATTTGTGCCAAATTCATGGGGCGATTTCCAAATACATGTATAGTGTATAACTTGTCAACTTCGAATACATTTCAACAACTAATGATTTGAAATACCTCCTAACAAAAAATTGAACCTATTTGTAAAATATTAAAATTTTAGGTACTTATAGTGTGATGCAAAACATATAAAGATACCAAAAGGTAATTTTACCATCAAAATTTCTGGACCTTTTTGTAAAATTTTAAAAGTTTAGGTACTAAATTATATGAAAAATAAGTTTGGGTACCAAACTGAAATTTACCAAAATTTATAGTTTGTGACCAAAAAGTTCAAAAAAAAAAAATTCATGAAGTTTAAAATACAATCAAAATACAAATGAGTATTCAAACAACGAATTTGAATTACAAGTGTTTTAAATGGTAGTATTTCAAATGCATACATTTTAAAACATGTATTTCAAATACATTACATTTGAAATACACCTATTCAAACGCACTCTTATAAATATTATCAGTGTTGTATAAATATTTTTAGGTATAAACAAATATAAAACAAAATATTATATCTCTAATTAATTGAGTACACTGCAAAACATTTTTATTTTTAACTCCCATTGAGCATGGTCTTAGAATTTAGAACATGGGTTCTGAATATTTGATTTCCCTACCCCAGATATTCAAAGCATGGAATCTTCCAATAAGATCGGTGGAGTTTTAACAAGTTTTCATAATTTTAAATTTACTGGCCAGAGAGTATATCTCGGTACCCCATTTTGGTAATTTTATGCCTCTTCTTATGTTTGGGTTTAGTGATACTTCTTTTGGACAATTCCGGCTCACATTATGCCATTAACTTTTGTTGGCACGAAGAAAAATAGGGTACATACAATCTTTTTCTTATATATACTAGCACAAGCCCGAACCATTGGCCGGGAAGGTTAAAAATTAAATATTGGTCCCCCAAGTTTGATTTGCATGTAAGTTATGGGTAATTATTTTGCTTGTATTTTCGATGTTTAAAATGTCTGTTCCACGCATTGAGCTACGACTTACCAAATAATTATATATTTAAATAGTTCACCAAGGAAGATATGAGAGTTGCTTCCCATAATACATGCACAGTCAATCTTGACTTAGAAGAAAATATTTGTCCTTAATTTGATGGAGGTTAAGGTGTCCATCAAACTTTTACCTTAATCGCCATGTTTCTAGTCGATCACCCTGCGAATTATAGATACAAAATTAGTTAGCAATAGTAAGTTGGACAATTAAGTGAGTTTGAATCGGCGTTCAAATGACAGTAGCTCTAGATATGTGCAACAACCACATAATTGTTTACCTGCAGACAACCACATAATAACCAGTCACATCTAGTAAGTTAGTAAATTGTTAGTCAATCAGCAGAAATTAGTGGAAACTTTTGGTGTAAGTGTAAATCCTACTCCACTCAAGTTTATCATGTCTCGACATCATAACTCAATATAGAACTCATA